TTTTTTTTTTTTTTTTTTTTTTTTTTTCCCTTCAGTGGTCTTGTGCAGGTACAGTTAATTGACTGGGAGCAAGTCAGATCCATCTTCTTTTTTCAGCGTCGGCGAAATTCTCCGTGCATCTTCTTTTTTCAGCGTCGGCGAAGTTCTTCGTGCACTCTTTTCCACCAATTGTTCATGTGGAATTGATTGCACACATTATTCACCCATCACAAGTGCTAGAATATGAGAGAGTGCGTGCCATACCAGATTGTCCAAGCACTTGCCCTACTCAAGAAATGTGCAGCAAAGGTAAAATACTAAAATTACTCAAAAACTTGCTAAAATTTGTACCCCCCCCAAAAAAGAAGCCTCTCAAAAACTTGCTAAAAATTGTTCCCCCCCACAAAAAAAAGAACCTCTAAAAAACTTGCTAAGAATCGTAGCAAAAGAAAAAGAAATCAAAATTTATCAATTTTTATGATGTTTTCCAAACCATTAACTTGTGCCTTTTTTCTCTGGATCTGTGCTCTACCAGCACCGCCTATTGGCAGGTGGAGCGGACAGGGCCGGGGCATGCATAGAACCTCTCCTGATTGGGACAACTGGGCAGGAGATATGCTTATGGTGACAATGATGATGATGATGATGATTGTGTTATGGTGGTGTTGGAGATAGAAGAAGAAGAAAAGGATAGCTAGTAATTGCTTACTGCCGTCAGTGCCGGGTTACCTGAGTAAAACGCACGGTGAGTATAGCTGTATTTGGGCCAACCGTCACTCTAGATCTAGCGATAATGACTGTGCGTTCTATTGAGGTGAATGCGGTAGCAGTAGATGTAGCGTGGTAGTAGTTGTGGTGGGAGTGTTTCGGGTGGTTGTAGAAGTAAATACTAGGAGAAGGAGAATAAGAACATGAATTATAGTAGTGATAAGAATAATGAGGAGGAGGAGGAGGAGGAGGAGGAGGAGGAATGTGATAGCGAAGTGAATTCCCTATATGTCTATGCTTCCAGAAAGAAAAAAATGTTACATCGTCTGCACAGACTGAAGCACCATATCCAAGCTCTGAGCGCGATGATCCCCAAAATGTCTTGGCTGGATGCACACCAGCCTCTTCAGGGGGCTTGCCACAAGCATGAGAACCCACCATTCCAAACACCCAAGCACACAGAAGAAGAAGAAAAAGGAAAAAGAAGGACAAGAACTGTCAAGAAGAATGCATATTAAGAAGAAGAAGAAGAAGAAGAAGAAGAAGAAGAAGAAGAAGAAGAAGGCGACAACGACAACAACGATGATGACGGCGGCGACGGTGACGACAATGATGGCGACGACGATGACGACGACGACAACGACGACGACGACGACGACGACGACGACGACGAAGAAGAAGAAGAAGAAGAAGAAGAAGAAGAAGAAGAAGAAGAAGAAGAAGAAGAAGAAGAAGATGGCGGCGGCGACAAAGACAATGATAACGACAACGACAACAACAACGGCAACGACAACGACAGCGACAACGACAAGGACGACGATGACGGCGATTGCGACGGCGAAGGAGAAGAAGAAGAAGAAGAAGAAGAAGAAGAAGAAGAAGAAGAAGAAGAAGAAGAATGCATATGGGGGTGGCAATAAACATGAATAAAGATGATGATGACAATGAAGCAGAAAATGATGAGTGCACTCATCATTTTAATATTTTATGCATTGAATTTTTATTTTCATACACAAAAATTGATGAGGGACGATGCTGACAATGATGATGATTCACTTGTATAGCAGCAGTGACAGCAGTGACAGCAGTGACAGCAACAGCAGCAGCATTAGTTTAGTAGTAGTAGTAGTATTAGTCATCGGAGAAAGGAAAAAAATGTAACACCTTTGAAGAAAAAGGTGTGACACTGTGTGGGTTCTTGCCTCCTGAGGTTGTTCTTGTTCGGTATATGCCTTGTGCGTGTTTATGTGAGAGCCAGGTAAACATTCAATATGGACTCCCCGAGCGAATTGCAAATGCTGTTGCGCAAGCATCGAAGGAAATTGTGCTTGGGACGCTCGTCATGGATCAATCGCCATTTCTCCTGTGGCAGACGGATGGCGGGGAAACGTTAAACCGAAACATGAATCAGGTATTCCTGTTAAGTATGCTATTGAGTGTGCTCTTCTGTATGTTATTGAGCCACAGAGGATCTATTTTGCACTCTGGTTTGCACTCTGGTTTGCACTCTGGTTTGCACTCTGGTTTGCACTCTGGTTTGCACTCTGGTTTGCACTTTGGTTTGCAGTTTGGCTTGCAGTTTGGTTTGCAGTTTGGTTTGCACTCTATTTTGCACTCTGGTTTGCACTCTGGTTTGCACTGTAGTTTGCATTCTGTCTCTGGTTCGCACTCTACCCTCTGGTTTGCACCGAGGTCTAAAAGTTTGTGTCATGGTCTTTACCTGCCTGTGGTCTGTCTCTTATACACATCTAGATGTGTATAAGAGACAGCTATGTTGCACTCTGGTTTGCACTCTGGTTTGCACTGTAGTTTGCATTCTGTCTCTGGTTCGCACTCTACCCTCTGGTTTGCACCGAGGTCTAAAAGTTTGTGTCATGGTCTTTACCTGCCTGTGGTGGAGTTTGTACCAGGGGTTAGACCCTGGTTTGGCTTGCACTCTGTTTTGCACTCTGGTTTGCACTTTGGTTTGCGCTTTGTTTTGCACTCTGTTTTGCACTTTGTTTTGCACTCTGGTTTGCACTCTGGTTTGCGCTTTGTGTTTGCGCTTTGTGTTTGCACTTTGTTTTGCACTCTGGTTTGCACCAAGGTCTCAAGGTTTGTGTCACGGACGTCACTGGTGTGCGGCGGAGTTTGTACCAGGGGTTAGACCCTGGTTTGCACCCTGGTTTGCTGCTTGCAGTCACATTGTGGAGACTGGTATTAACATCACCGTAGAGGGGGCAGCTACATACTTCACCACCATGTCAAAATAAATAATCACAACAAAGAAGGGGAGGTGACCACCCTAGCTGATGAGAACAAAATGTCCAAAAACCCAATCCCGTGTGATTGCAAACCAAACGTTTCCCCCCTGGTTTGTACCCTGGTTTGTACCCTGGTTTGTACCCTGGTTTGTACCCTGGTTTGTACCCTGGTTTGTACCGTGGTTTGTACCCTAGCTGGGATTGATTTGCAATTTTGCCCCATGGTTGTTGGCTAGTTGTTGGCTGTACACTTTGCATTCCTTTGTCCCCTTGTCGGCACTCAGTGGCATGGGTTTCAAACTGATGAGAAGAAAACTAACTAACGTAACGCTGCATGATTGCAAACCAACCGTTTGCCCCCTGGTTTGTAGTACTTTGTACCCTAGCTGGGGTTGATTAGCACCAATGGTTGGCTACCGTCTTCACCCGAATAGAACGCCTGGTCATTATAGCTGTATTTTTGGGGCAACTTTCAGTCTGGATACAGAGATAATTACCGGGCATTCTATTTGGGTGAAGACGGTAGTTGGCTGTACAGTTCGCAATGCTTTGCACTTGTTTGTCCTCCAGTCTGCACAGTGTCTCTCTCTAGTGATTGGCATGGATTTTTTGCACGTTCTCTGAGCCTACTGCAAAACCTGTAAAGCCGTAGCTAAGGGGCTGAATCACCTCCTTTTTACACTGCCACAGGACCAGCACTTCAACCTGAAAGCAGTGTCAGCACTGGCGGGCGCTTAGATTCGTTCAACAGTAAGTGCGCCCGGCAAGGGAGTGGAGTAGTTCTGACAGCGCGGTCATACGACATAAAAGATATGTTTAGCAAGTTGCCGCATGATGAAATCCTTTTGGCTGTTGCATGGATTATTAAGCATCACCAGGAGAAGGGGAGACAGTTTGTGCGTGTGAATACACGTGGACGAGGGGCCACTTTCGGTCTGACCACTGGAAAGGATCACTGGAGATTGCTGGAATTCAAGGACATCTTCAAATTTGTTCAAATCGAGCTCACTTACGCCTTTGCTTTGAATGCTTTGCTGCAGAAGCGAATCGGTATCCCGATGGGCAAGAGTACAAGTCCGCCGCTCGCTTGTATCCTCTGTGCCCTCGCGGAGTACAGATTCCTTTGCTGTTTAGGGGCGAATCGGCAGAGGGTCTTCGGTGTTCGTCTGATTGATGATGTGATCCTGGTCATCGCCAAGAAGACGTTGACTGGGCAGCAACTCGATGAGATCTGGGGGAAGTTTGAACTTTGAGCAGTGCTATCCCTCCAACCTTTCCCTGAAACGCACCGAGGACGGAACAGGGAAGTGGGACTTCCTGGGTTGTAAAGTGAAGATTGATCCGGTGATGAAACGTGTTTTGAGCGTGCAGTTAACAAAGAACGAAAAGACACTTTGTAACTCGGAGTTCAAGAACGGCCAATCATATCGGTCATGGGGAAGTAAGTCCCCCAAAAGTGCTGTGATTGCAGGGCACTTTAACAGAATTGACAAAAACACATAGGCACGTTGGGAAATTCCCAGACGGGTAAACTGCCTTCGGCGCGAACTTCGGATTAAGGATTTCCCAAATCGCTTGTTCCTACGGGTTCTGGAGCGCTTTGCTCGTGGCAGACCTGAGCCGTGGGGTTATGTCTGCTGCATGTTCATGACTGACTTGAAGTCGTACTGAGAGCAGGGCTTGTTTTTCAAAACATTTAGTGAAGACCGCTCATCTTATCAGTTGACAGGGTTACGGTGTTACTCTGTGGCGGACCAGGGTATGTGTCGGATTGTCGTTTGGCCCAATACAGCGGACTTTTCTATAGCTTTGTCCTTTTGGGCCGTGCGCGGCGAGGACGTAGGTCATTTTGATGTTTTCGGGGTTTCTACTTTTGAGTTTCTCCTTTTTTATTTCGTTGATTTGGTTTTCTATGTTCTTTTGTTTTGATTTTGGAGATACCCTGAGGGAAGGTGGGACCCGTGCCGATGTTTTTTGTCGCTTCAGGGTCAGACAGTAGGTAGTCTGAGCGGAACTGGACTGGTACTTAAGCAATGATGAGTAAACATTCTGTCTCTCTCGGGGACCGATGGTGCAGTCAGCATTTCAGGGATGCCGATGTTGCAACTGAGGCGGGTTGGTGGTGAGAAGGGCACGAGGGGATAGTAGGAGGAAGAACCCCCCTGAGGACTATCGTCGGGAGGCGATCGAAACCGGTCGGGGATCCGCTTTTCTGGATTGAATGAGAACTGAAGTACCTGTTTCTATCATTGCTCTGTGTGGTTTTGTCAATGCATGACGCGCATGATTGACGATTTTCGTGAATGAGTGTACCTCATCATCTTATCTCAAGACCTGGTCAAGAGCATGTTTTTTTTTTCCTGATAAAATCATAAAAATGCATAAAATATTAAAAATAATCAAAATAATAAAATTCAAAAAAATTAAAGTTCAAACTTCAGAATTTCGGAATGTTTGCTCTCATCCGTTTCACGGTGTTTGTGCTGCTGCTTTTTTTTTTTTTTTTTTTTTTTTTTTTTTCCCCTCTTGGAACAGATGATTGCCAAATGTGCGACGAAGATTTTGGGCGGCAAGGAGAGTGCAGATGGACTTGTTATCAAGCCTGAAGAACATGTGAATATGCAGCAGCCATCACATACAATGATGTTAGCTATGGTCAGTTTTTCCTGGCATTAATGGGGAAAAAAATATACCTTCTTCCTCAGAACATGACGCCCCATCGTCACGGATGTGTGATGCATAGAAGCACTGTTCTGGTCCAAATCCAGTCGTAATGCTAGGACATTATGTTTGGACTCTGGGCGGCAAAGGTCCTTCCTTCCCTTGTTGCATCTTTATATCTATTTGCAAGAAGCTGTGGTATACCGAATAGCGTAAATGGCAAAATGCCCCTAACGGGCTGCCTAATAAGCTTGTAGGCAGCAGCATTTGAATGGCTGATCTGTTTATTCGGAGGCATATATGTGTGTAGTACTGTGTAGCAGTCAGCCAGGCGGATGGGGCACACTGTTTGATTCTTTTTTTTTTGTTTTGGCCCTTTTGGGTTTGTTTTGAAAGCGGTAGGGTTTTGCTTCCGCTCATATGTGCAAGGCTTCTTTAAAAGTTTAAAGTTCGTTTTCATATGCATATGTGGCATCGCGTGCAAATAGGGTGATCATCTCTTTTGTCAATGACTGACTGATGTGTGGCTTGGAGCAATGATTGACTGGTACTGCGAGGAGCTATATCATTGACGATAGCCTGTGCTGCAGCATCAACTTTCTTTTTTTTTTTTTTTTTTTTGAACAAAAAGGATGCGCCTGAACCATAGTAACAGCGGACCCGACGCCAGACATTTCCGGACTGTATTCCGGACATACGTCTGGACTGGTCCGGACAGTCCGGTGATCTGGACACCACCGAACACCCGGACATCGCCGGACCCGGACAGTCCGGACTGACATCAGAGGGTCCAAAAATGTCTGGACCCAAAAAAAAAAAGAAAAAAAAAAAGGAGGGGG